GTGTTCATCATCAAACATAATGGCTGAGTATTTAATTCACCAATATATTGAAGAGATTTGGTCTTTGCCTCCTCCTTTTTTTAGACAACTCGAAATAAAAACACTTGAAAATCAATCAGGACATTATGAAACATACTCTACGATCAATTTTAATTTGTAATGAACCTACTTATGAAACAAACACCCTAACCTTTTTTTTAATTTGATGTGTTGAAAACGACCTTTCACCTATATATTCAAAATTTTACTTCAAGTTGCATCCATAAGGGTGGGTTGCGGGTTATGTTATGAACATAATATAAATTGATGGAGACATTCAAAATTAAAATCGAAAACACTAATCAACAAATTAACGTACGATTTTCCAATGTTTTGGATAAGGAACAGGATGTTAATATCGAATCAGATTTACATATTCATGGTCTATTTGTACGAATATAATGTTTTAATTACAACTATATTATAAAAACAAATGAATCTTTAGGTTCATGTCGGGCCAACTTTGTACAATGAATTAACATTCTTTTATCGTACCACTCATATTCAAATTAACTAAAATCAACAACTTGCATTATGTTTACCTTTCAAATCTTAAAGAGTCTTTAGAGAGGATTCTATCACTTTCTGAATTATTTCAACTTAGTACCACTTGTCACAAAAGTTATTTATTCAATGCCAATTACATTCCCAAAAAAAATATTTTTATTTTTGTAAGTTTCCCATGTGCATTTTTATATTCTTAGGAAGAAACATATTTTTAAGGCATATTTGATAATATATAACATCGATATTCATGTAAATTAAGGAAAAAGGATATTCTTAGTACCAGACCTTAAATCATGCTTATTTTGGATTACAAAAATTCAACTCTTTGGGTTTGGTTGGATTTTCTTATATATTATATACAGTAGTTTTATTTAATTTTCAACTATAAATATAATTATAATTGTTGTTGCATTGCTGGCATATCCCTAGCACATTATGTGGACATTCAGATGTACTACTAAAACAAGTTGCTGAAAGAATATTTTTGTCAGTGAATTCTTTATTTGCGGGTCGTTTGGACAAACAATATAAAACTATAATTTGAAATTAGATTGCTGTGAGGTGAAATTTTTGTTTATATATATAATTTAGTTTTGTTAGATGTTTTTTTTATAAATGTAAAAATCTCAGTGAAAATAATTGAAATTTTCTCAGATCTAACATAATATACTGTTACTAAAGAAGAAAAATCATAATTCATAAACAAATATATAAATATTCTAAGGATCATTGATTGCATATCTCTATAATTTTTTTAATAAATAAATATTCGTGGTTTATATACACATAATTTGTACAGATCTACTTGATAATAATAATAATAATTAATTAATTTTTAATATAATTGTTATCAGTGTTATCACGGTACAAACTCTTCGTGTTGAGTATGATTTTTTCCCATATTGTATGAATAAATATTTACTTAATAACACATTTACTCTATCATATTCATTTATACGTAAATCTTAATAACTCAACTAATTAATTATTCGTACTTGTATATTTTTAAATGAAAATTCCATTTCTGAACTTGTAATCGATCCTCTCTCCTATTTTTCCTATCGCTGCCCCCATATATTTTCTTTAAAAGTCACATTCTTGTCTGTTATAACAATTAATGACTCTTCAACTGTTTTAAAGACATGTCTGATGATATTCATAGGACAAGCCACCACATGTTCATTATTTTCTTTTTATCAGAATTCAGAAATGTATTGACTAGAAAGAAAATATTATTCGATTGACTCGTCAATTTTTTAAAAAGTATTTTGTGAATTGCATGAGGCCATCAACTTCTAATTAGGAAGTTGCTATCTAGTTTCCACAAGGAAAAAAAAAGTTATTTTTCTGTCTTAATTTGAGTATCTAATTTTATTTAAAGACATATTATACAAAATTAATTAATACATATGGCGATATTATTTTATTTAAAGACACATTATACAAAATTAATTAATATTTATGGCGATATGAACTACAAATACGTGGCACCGATAAACTTATAAAGGGTGCTTATAGAAACTGATTCGATAGAATTGATTAGTTTGGAAATGTGTCTAGTAAAGATTTATCTCAATTTGTTATCAAGATTAAATCATGACTTCTTGAAAAAGGATGAAAACTTATGATCTGAAGATAAGAAAGGACTCATATTTTCAGGGGCGGACTCACGTAGTCTCCAGAGGTTCATGAATCTCCTCGATAAAAAATTACATCGTGTATATATATATATATATATTTGAACCCTTTTAATAACGAAAAGAAGTTGATGATGCAGTGGCATATTTGTTTTTTAATTTTTAGTTTTGTTTTTCATTTTTTAGTGTTTTTTGTTACTATAAAAAACATGTTAAAAGTGTGATTTTAAATTTAAAAAATATCAAAATTTTCATTTCCTAAAAATTATTTGCACATTTAAATTTTTATTTTTAAAACTTCTAGAATGAAAATTTTAAATCCCTTACTGCATATCCTATTAACCTAACAGAAGGACGGATTCACAAGATATATTTATATAAATTATATATATATTATTAACGATAATAAAACGTTAGTTGGAACGACTAATAATATTTTCACACAAAATATATTAAAACATTAAACAGTAATACTTTAGAACTATGAGTCGAACTTTAATAAAATGTTTGTTGGCACGACTAATAATATTTTCACATAAATTATATTAAAACATTAAACAGTAATACTTTAGAACTTTGAGTCGAACTTTTCAGTTAATTAATGTATCACATGGAGTAGCCTTTGACACAATTATAAGATATTTTGATTCTTAACAATACTAAATTATTTTTTTACTCTATTTTTCTTTTTCGTCTTCATATTTTACTAGTCTTTTACTTCCAATTTTTTACTCATTGAGACCCAACACTTGAGCAGCGCCTGATCTAATACAAACGAACACGGTCGGAGCCCTACAGCTTCATACGAGTCTTTTTCAAATACTTTAACTTATTCACAAACATATATATTTAAATGCTAATAACTACACTTATCGAATTAAATCAAGATACGTGTTTTTGATTTTAAATAAATTCAATATTACCATTTTCTCGTTAAACGACATTGCTCAAAAAGAGTGTATCTCTTTGTATATTGTGTAAATTTTCTAAATTTAACATTTTGTTCGATAATTAATTTAAAATCACAAAATTTAAAAAATTATACAGACATTTTTAACTTTTATATCTAGTTAAATTGATACCAAAAGAGTTATAATACATAAGCTTTGAAGGGGGGCGACATATATTCTATATACTTCATAATTGAGTAACTTTTGAATTGAAAAACAAAATTTAGTGATTTTGTAAGAAAAAAACTCATAGTTAAGTGCCGGGGCGTAGCTACATACTCTAGTCAACAAATTATATCGTATATGTCAATAAAATTATATACAAAGTGATTAAATAATATATTTTGAACACCCTTAACATAACAAGGTATTGTAGTCTAAGGTGCTTTGAAAAAGTCAAGCATCTAAGTGTTTGTGAGTTAAAATCTCACTAGTAGTACCTTTAAGCCTCTTTTTTTTAAAATTTTTTTCTTGTTTTTTAAAAAAATTCATGTATGTTATGTACTTTATTTTCACAAATTTACATGTATATTCTGGTGCACTCTTTTATTTTTTTATTTTCAAAATTTTTCATGTATATTACGTGTTTAATTTTTAGGTCGCTAGTTAAGTGGAAAAAAATTATAGTTCAGTGATCATGGGAGATGTTATGACAATTAAAAAAATGTGTTTTAAAATAGTTAGAGACAAAAATCAGAAAAGATTAGATTCTAAAAAGGACAGGTCGATAGATTTCACCTGATTCTGGTGGAAGTCACTTCATTTCAATTTACTGTTACACTTTGCGTCGGTGTTTTATCTTTTTCCACCATGCCTGATGTTGATACTTCATCTGGACCCCTCGGGACTGTCAATCATCATATATCACACATATTTTAACTTGCTAGGCGTTTAATTATTCATTTTCAATTTTATAGAATTCAAAAATGTGTGTCTTTCATTATATTTGGAACGATGTTCAAGTATGGAAGGTATTGTCGGTCGATTGAAAATAATGAATAAATATTTTTCTCTCTATTTTCTTTTTGCTTTAATGTTCTTAAAATATGACTTTAAAAAGTAAAAATTACATAAAAATAGATCATAAAGTTGTTTTTTAAGATTGAAATACAATATGAAGTTATACCTTAAAATTTTTCTGGCTATATACAAACTTTTAGATTAAATAAAAGAATTATTCCTTTTATTTTTTGTTGTCTAATGAATCTTAAAATCTTGTGTAATTCTTTATCCTCAACTACTTTTGTTTTAATTTATGTGAGAGTAGTATTTACACAGTTTTAAACTTTTATGCAATCTTTTGCTAAGGGGACAAATTAAGTTCCTAACAATGGGTTGCACAGTTCAATTCTTTTTTGACATCTTTTATTCCGCGGTGACTATGAATAGGGGAGATCCTGCAAAAATAGAAAGCTCACGCCAGGACGATAGAAACCTCTCATAAACACACTGTTTTTATAGAGATCACACCGAATGAGAACAAAACATTCCTGAAATGTAGAGTTGAGATTTTTCTAGACAAGTTCCTAGGGTTAACTTTATGTAAATTTTCCCTCCTTTTTTGACAGCATAATTTACATTACGTCAGTTTTGTTTTGTTTTTTTCAATTTTGTGCTCACACTGAACGCTAGTAGAAATGAACAGATCACATGATACACTCGTAATGATTTAGAAATTTGCAATCAAAGTAGAAGCTATCACTTCATGTCAAAGGTATGGAACCAAGAGGACCCCTACTAGTAAAGGGAATGGTAGTGTGCCAACTGAAAAGACTGCAAGACCTTTAAGGGGTGGACCATGTGAATTTATCTTCCAACGGACAATATCACACCATGGATACAAGTATAGTGTGACCTGAGCGAACTATTACGTAATAGAAAATAGACAAATGATGGCAATCATGGAAGAACCAAATTGCATAGTACACCATTTGTTTTTTACCATATAACTTTTATTCTAAAAGACAACATTACCAACACAGACCTAACATCTTAATATCTCATTATACCAGTAAAGGACATCCAACAAAGGTAGCAAATAGACATAACCTGAATAGGAAAGCACAACATATGAAATGACATGCTGCAAGGGTATCCAGTCACAGCTTGAAACATGACAACTGGCTGATCTATTCTTTCTGGTAAAAGGAACGGAAGGCAAGGGCTGCAACCAATATCAACAAGGGTAACAAGAATTGCAATAGCTTCCATGAGTTTCCAGAACCCTGTCCTCCAGCTGATGGTGTTGCTGAGGGAGGCGGGGTATGTTTGCGTTCTGCAGGAATGGTGGAACTGTCAATTTCACCAATGAAGTATTTCTTCAACATCTCTCTTGCATCATCACTGTGACCGACATCTTCAAAATCATCTGTCGCATCCTTGCCTATATATCACACAAATTTATACGTATCACATCTAAGTTCAGTTCACGACAAACCAATGTATTACCAAGATTTTAGGCTTACCTGTTGCAGTTAGCAACACTTCATCACCTCCAGGATGATCATCCAAAAAAGAGGTTACATCATAAACCTAACATAGAGTTTTCAAACATGGAATCAAGAGACAATAGGATGGAAATTAAATGAGAACAATAGTAAACAACAATTAAAACAACACCCCTAATATAATGCCTCCAGATGAAAAGGTTTTGATGAATGCCTGACGAGAATTATAATTTTTTACCAAAGAGAGTATGTCAAACACCAAAAATAATGACAAACTTGTATTATTACAGATTCAGGTGCTCATGTATTTGTTCATCTAGATTTTGTATACCTTGTTCAACATCTAAGAAATCTTAGAGAACATCAAAAAACCATTCTACAATTGCATCAAAGCCAGTAAACACTAAAATTGGAACAAATTTTAAACCTCAGCAACATAGTTCCAAGCTATATTGTTCCGGTCAAGCACTTTTATGCCTCAGTGGCTAGGTACTGACAGAGACTGTTCTCTGTCAAAGGAACAAATACTTCTCTCCATGTATTTTGTATATATACATGTACTCATTACATGTTGAGCAGTGTTCTTGTAACTCGGACTTGATCAACGGTAATAGTTACAATTGTAAGAGAAAGTTGCAATCAGGGAATGCAGGTGTCAGAATGAAATGAAAAGAGATAATGAATAAATTGTTCTAGCTGGAAACCAATGGTGATTTAGAAGTTACTGATACCAACGGATCATTGGGAAGAAGTACAATCACAGAGCAGGTCAACACAGCTTGTCCAATGAAAGAGCACACATGTACAAGCCTTCAACCATTTACCTGTGATATCATACAAGGCTACTGGTAAAGAACAGCAATAAAAGAGTTTCTTCTACCTCGTGACATTGTCCTGTGTCCAGTTGAAAGACCATTGTATGCTGGTGCATAAATATTCTTCTAGGAAGAAGTTAAAAGTCCACTGATTTCTTAGCACTCCCAAATATAATAGAAGAAATAAAACCAAATTGTATTACCTTTCCCTGACAGACTTTATCTCAGTTAACTGTTGGAAACCAAATCTAAATTATATCTCATATTTCCTCTATTTTTTACTGTATACTTTGTAAAACAGATATACTGGAGTCTCCCAAAACTATCTTTTCTGCCAGACAAACATTCAAATTTATGAATTTAGTTTAAACTTTTTGTAACATTCTCAATTGTAATACTTCTTTAGTTTCTTTATTTTTTTCTAGCATCCTTCCCCTAATGTAACACAATAATACCCCCAACACCCGAGGTACCTCTTATCCCAATTTATTCTCAGGAAGACATTCTTTTTTATCTTTGATTCTTTCATACCTAGGATTTGCTTTGACCCCTTCACTTTTATGTTCCTTCTTTTTCCCAACAAGGTAAGGTAAGCTTCCAAGTTCATTGCCACTTTGATATTCAAACCGATGCCAAAAAGTTTTTAGAATTTAAGACCAGTACTTAACACTCTATACATTATTCTCTCCTTTTGTCTTTCTTTCTTTCTCCTTCTTTTTGGTTTTCCAGCTATCTCCTTGGTGCTCTAACTCTAAAAGTTCTAATTCACCTTACTTCAGCATATTCATATTTTTCTTCTCTTAATTCTAATCCTATGAGCCCTTAAGTCATGGGATGACATGCAATGGGAGGAGGAGGAAAACAGTCCCTTAGTTGTTATATAAGATGAAAACGAATAGTTATTTATCCTAATGTTGATTTTACTTTAATATTTTAATTATTGTTGTTACCTTCCCCTCATCACTCAATTTTATGGACTTATCACGTCCCAAATCCCCATCCATCTCATTACAATTCATACCTTTTGATGCTACCCAACATAAATGGTTACTTCATTTCCTTTAGTTATTATTTCCGGAGTTGTATGCACCGGTTTATGCACTATACGGCCTTTGCTTTTCATTCTACCTCTCGCTTTTCACCCTTCTCTATCTTCAATGTTCTATTCCTTTCTCCCTTCTGTTACTACTTTTTCTTATCCCCCTACCTGAAACTCCATTCTACCTTGACAAGTAAATGCTAATGAAGGGGTAAAAGGATTTCTTTCTTCTATATTTGCCCGTCAAATGGCAATTTCTATATGTTTTTTTCGGGTAAATTACGAGTAGAGATTTTGGGGAGAGTGGATAGAACAGAGCTGTGGATTTCCATCCCGTGCTTTTGAACGATTCTTCCTGCAAATGGACTATCTTTTTCTACCATACTAGGAAATGTGATCAAAGGTGCTTGCGCTCATCAGAGAAGTTTCTATAAACTAACTTTAGCATAAGAAAAGAAAGTATACATTGACAAACTATTTGACACAGGATGACCTAGCTGATTGATGTCATAAGCAATCTTCCTTGTCTAAAAGGAGCCTGAACTGGAAGTTAAGTTGAATGATCATAAATATGTCAAAAAAGGAGAAGTATTTGGCTTTTTAGTCTATAGCTTTAAAAAAATATCGGGTGATTCAATTGAACCGAACTCGAGAGACCTCGAGCGTAATATACGCTACCCTCGGAGAGACTTTAGCCACATCTTAACCCGAATGCTTACTTAGAAAATGTCCAGTGCATCTTTCTTACTTACACGTCTTAATTTCGTTTCATAGTCTGCTTTTCTTATTTCTATTTACTCCATTTCTTAAATTTTCGGTTTCCCGTTCCACTACATAGGTCTCCCAACCCTATAAAATGAAAATTGGAGCTTATATTGTTGGATATAAACCATATTAATTATGGGAAGTCTTCAGATAAGCAATCCTATTACTGAATTGTCAACTTCTACTTTTAATAAAGTAAAGGTAAACATCAAACTCAAGATCCAGAAGATGCAAAGGATTACAAAAACAAAAATAGATCCTTTACATCGCCAAATTACTTCTAACAAAGTTTCAAGAGCTATTAAATCCAAAAAAATTCACTACTATTTACATTACAGACCCTACTCCATGAATTTTGGTGGGGATTTGTTTGCATCCTAATGATATTTTCTCAACTATACAATAACTTGTTCTAAAGATGGACTATTGCAAGTTACCAGTTTCAAAAAAAAAAAGATGGGCTATTACTACTTAAATGGTTTAATATCTTTCTAGTTCATCTTCTTTTCACTATTTTGCAAACAACATAAATGTTTTCTTCCAAACCTCATCTAAACAGCATGCAATATCAACCAGAATCTACAATTCATGTTTCCATGGAGGGTGAGGCGGTGCATTTTACCCAATTTCTCATTCAACTTGTATTTTATTTGTTATTTTCATATGGCATAAAGCATATTTTTCCAAATTACGTCAATAGTCTTTGGAATGATTAATACTGCTTTCCTGGGATTAAATGTTCCCTTGTACTATGATAGGATGAGGATGATGACTCCTCATTCCATCTCTTGCGTCAAACCAAATATGACCTAAAGATTGCAAGCTTTGATTAGTAATCATTTAGATTATCTACTAACCAATTCCAGGATACATAATCCAGGGAGAGTAAAATGCTAAAAAGATTGATAACACGTGTTATAAAAGTGACACCAGGGGATGTAAAAAATTAGGAGGAGATGGTAATCATTGTTAAACCAGAATAAGAATAAATCTGTAGAAGAGAATAGGTGATAGGCTACCTCCATAACTGGTAAAGGGAAATTAGCCAATCAAAAACACTAACGCACATATTCCACAAATAGAATTAGATGAAGAAACTAAACCTAAACTTAAAAATAATATGGCCACCTTGATGAAAGGGCTTTTAAATCACCAACAATATATTAAGGAAGATTGAATGGACATGTCTAGGTTGATTCAGTGATGATTTCGGCTGACCACATTGCAATGTAGTTATGGTACAAGAAATGAATAAGAGAATGTTATGACGGAAAGCATTTCATATGACCATTAGTCTCTATGAATTAAGGTGGACTTAGCTAACAACAAAACACAATTAACACAAAGTATCTATATACACAATACTAACTAGTTACAACTGATACTTTAGCATCTGATGTTATACTCGCCAATGGAGGTTCATATAACCCATAAGCTTTGCTCAAACATTGTATATGTATTAAGAAATTCAGAACTTGAGAACGTTGTAGCAACCCATAAACTTCAATCCTGGATCCACTAACCGATACTCGTTAAGAGTCTTTTCCATCCCAATTCCCACTGACCGATATTTGCTAAGACTCCTGGATCCACTGACCGACATTTTAGTTACTTTTTTTTTAGAGAGAAACAGTTCATTTTATACTAACAATAGTTTAAATGGCCCAAAAATCAAAATAGCAGAGAATGAACACAAAGAAATTCATATATCCAACCCAAACAAGTTTGAGATTGAAACCTAGTTGTAATTGATTGATTAATCTATCTATGAACATCAATTCCCAAAATTTTAACCAAGCAGGCCTATCGGCCTTCTAACTGGGAAGCTATAAAAACTCTCAACAACAACAATTTCTTTTTCACCAAAAACAGCAAACGGAACTCGTATAAAATGATAGTTGTAGATTCTAATAAACTTACCTTTCCAGAGATGAGAAGCCAGCAATCATCTTTGTTGTTGTGCTCCAACAAGTCGTTAAAAGCATGAAGTTTGGTCATCTTCACCGATCTTGCTTACAATGGGAACACAAAAAGTTAAGCGCAGAAACTAAAATCAAAGTTAAAGACTGCAGAAATTGAGGGTTACCTCTGAACTTCCGCCGAACGCACGCCAGAAGTCAAAGTTGAGTAACGTGTTTAGTATGCATATACCAAATTGGGATTACCGATGTCCGATCCCATTGTATTAATAGGATGTATTATTTTATCCCTTTTACACCTCCAAAGTTTTCATTTAATGTTATTTTTCTGTTTATTTTTAATTGATAATATAGTATGTTTTTATTTATTAAATTCAAATTTAATCTTCAGTTCATTTTTGATTTATTTATATTATTAATCATAATTAGTTTTAATAACTTAAATTTATTATATTTATTAAAAGGTGATATTAGGGCTAAACATAAAATATCATAAATTATATCAAAAATTTTGATAATTTGTATATTCAATAACTTGGTATTTGTTATGATATACGAGAATAAAACTTTAGTATTATGATATATAGATCTTTGATATTCGGTATTTTTCGAATACAAAATTATTTACTTAATAAAGGTCATATATTAACATATCTATTACTTATTAATTCAAATTCAAGGAGAAAGTTAAAGAATAAGAATATGTTTGGATGAGCTTAACAGCTGGATGGGCTTAAAAAAAAGAACTTTTAAAAAATATTTCTTAAAGTGCTGAATCTTATTTTAAAATAAGTAGTTATGTATTTAGATAAAAATGCTTCAATTGAAAAAAAAAGTTATTGATGTGTTAGACAAATAAGTGCTAATAATACTTTTTTTTTATCAAAATGTCCGAAAAATATTGAATAAAAAATCTCTTTTTTTATCAAATATCTGAAAAATATTGAATAAAGAATCTCTTTTTTTATTAAAATGTATGAAAAATATTGAATAAAGAATCTCTTTGTTTTGGTAACAAAAAGCAACTCTTTGTTTTGTATCAATGTCTGAAAAGTTGTTGATGTGATTAATATTTTTAAGAGTTACGAAAAGAATAAGTATCAATGTATTTTTAATAGTAAAAAATATTATTTTATTGAGAAAAATAATTTCAAACATTTAATATAAAAACTTTAATTGCATCGTTAATTTATTTAATCAAAATGTACATTATTGAGATTTTCAATCAATATTATACATAGATAAAACTTGTTGAAAAATATTGAATAAAGAATCTCTTTGTTTTGTTAATTTGGATTCCATCTTAGCTAATATCCTCTTTTGTTATAATAATCTATAGTTTTAAAAAAATAAAATAAAATAATAAATAGATAATGAAAAGAAAAAAAATGTTATTTGTTACTCTTTTTGGGACGGTCTAAATCTTAATTGTTACTATTTCTCTCTTTTTTTAGTCTTGCAAAAATATTATTGTTACTTGTAATTCTAATTCTATAAAATAATACGTAAACTAATATAAACAATATATAAATAGATAATAATATAAAAACATAAATAAAATAAAAATTATAATATAAAAAATAAAAAATAAAATTCCTGAATGAAAATTAACCAAATTTATGAGATAAAAAATATGCATCTACTTTTTTAATAGGAAAAAAATTTATTTTAAGCTTTTAATAATTAATAAAGGGTAAATTGATAAATATGTAATATGTAAAGGATATTTTAGTTTTAAAATAAATAACTTTTTGCTTCTACTTTTTTTTTAAAAAAAACAAAAATTTGATGTTCTTCATGCAAACAAAAGCTTCAATTTAAAAGCAAACTTTGAGGATTTGCTAAACACTTAATTTTTAAAAAAAATTTCTAAAAAAAGAAAACACTTCTGAACTCCCAATAGCAATATCTAACAGACTTTAAGCATAAACAATTCAAATATGTATGTATAATTTGCTTTCTTGATTTCTTCTTACTTATCGATCTTCTATAATATTTTTTCTCTACATAAAAAATAAAAATGTGAAGAAATAAGTATTAATTTTGTAATACAATCGGCTATAGGGTATTAGTGCACACGTACTTTTAATTATCAATTATCAAATTTAAAATTTAAAAAATCTGAGTCAAATATCAAACGCTCTCCCTAGGTGAGATAATAGAAAAGCTTAACTATAGTATCCTCAGTGTAATTTTATTTTACATCATTAATAACAAAGTTTCTTTTTTTATTTTTTGAAGTTAATTAATTTGAAGTTTACTTTAAAGAATTACAATAAGTAAAACTTTTAATTATTTTAAACTTTATTTAAGTAAATACTTAGTTGTACTTATACGGCAACTTGAACTCAAATTGGAAGATTTCATTGTCCTTGATTTCATTCTTAATTTTAGGATATGTCTTTACTTAGGGTATTCAATATACAATATATCTCCAACATTATTCTAGACAATTCATTATTCATTATATTTTTTTAATTTTAGATTTAGAATGTATATACAAATTCGATTCGATCTATAAAATGATATTTTTAGTTAAAGTATAATTTTAATAAAAAATTTGTGAGAAGATGAAATTGAATTCTACAATTGTGTGAATTTCCTACATATATGGTAAACGTCTTGAGTCAACATGACAATAAGATGGATCAATCACTAGATATATGATCAAATAGTTTCTCCAAAAAGATATGTATATTAATTTTAAACACGAAAATTGGATACCATTTCTGTAATTTTTGAGGAATGGTTTGAAGTAAATATTCATGTATGAAGTACAATTACGTTTTAGTTAATTGAATTAACAAAACTTGTATAAAGATCAAAAGCCCAAATATAAATTAAATATTTAAAAATTATATAAAAAGTATTACAAATCATAATTATATGATGATAAAAATTTTAGTAAAAATCCGTATCTCTCAAAAATAAAACTATGACAACTAAGGAGTATCAACCAAGCTAATTTCGGGTTATTGTTATTGTTACGTTAAATCCCCTCAAAACACTATTTTTAGCGCATCTGCACACCCTGTCAATTATATCTGTAAAGGAAAAAAATGATAAATATACCCTTGAGCTATAATAAATGGTATGCAGAAACCTTCATTATACTTTTGGGTCAGTGTTGTCCTTGTTGTCCAAAAATTAGAACATATATACCCTTTATGCTAACAGGCATACATGTATCATCATCTTATCAATCGATCGGATATTTATTTAATACCGAATCGACGAATAAGATTATTTCATGTGTCCCTATTTAGTCTTTCGTTAGAGTGAAGGGCATATATATGCTCTAATTTTTGGATGGCAGGGGCATCAATGTCCGAAAAATATGATGGATAATATTTGCATAACATTTACGACAATTCGAGATATATTTGTCATTTTCCCTATCTGTAATAGCTCCTTGTTCAACAAAAAAAAAGGAAAAATGCACAAGTACCCCCTCAATTTATGTTCGAAATTTCAAAAACACATTTATACTATACTAAAATCCTATTACCCCCTTGAACTTATTTTATAAGTAATTTTCTACCCCTTTTTGACCTACGTGGCAATAGCTTGAAAAAAAATCAACCAATATTGGGCCCACAAGATAGTCACGTAGGCCGAAAAAGGGTAGAAAATTATTAATAAAATAAGTTCAGGGGTAATAGGACTTTAGTATAGTATAAATGTGTTTTTGAAATTTCGAACATAAATTGAGGGGGTACTTGTGCATTATCCCATAAAAAAAACAAAGAAAATAGCATGGGAACAAAGCTAAATGACTGAATCGATCCTTAGTTGATGGATTCCAATTAATAACACCAAAAATAATACGTCTAAACGCTAAGGGGATTGACCAAAGGGAATGAGATAACCACTCCATGGGACAAGAAGAAATATGTTCGCCATATATACCAAAGTTGACAACAATTGACATTACACATGACATAATTAAGAATATATCATTCTATTTTGGTGTTTGTATGTGGCGCTTTGACATTACACATGCATATATAACAGCTTCGCAATGTTACGCACGAAGTGGGGTATCATGTATATATATATGTATGAAGAATTAATATAGCAGTTAATTGTAAATTCCGTTATTATATATTAACTTAAGATTATTACCGGAATCGATAAACTTTCAAATCTTAAATTTGTCTCTCACATTAGTTTCAAAAACGTCAAGTATAACTACACAAATATATAAATATCTACCATTTTATAACTCTATGCTGTCAAATAAGTAAATTAATAGATTGCATAAATTGAAATAGAGTCTCGTTACAACGAAGACCAAAAGCCAGTTTACATGTAGAATTCACAGGGTCTAGCTGTGCTGGAAATACATTACTTTCACCAAACGAATAATATGGGTACCACATGACAAATTTAACAACTACTACAACTTGCACATACATTATAAGGATAAACATTGCTTCATTTCCAAGTAATCAGGACACTGCAACAGAACAGCTTAGGCAGGAATTTCTGCAAATGCAATGAAGCAAAAATAAGAATCAACGCAGTTGTCAAAAAAAGGAAAGACAAATAAATTGAAACAGAAGGAATAATGAGCACCTAGAATTTCGCGTAGTGAAATAGATTTGGAGGTGATAGGGAAAAGCTCGAGCATAGTACTGGCTGCTATCGCCTGACTGTTCTTTTGATTTTTTCCTTCCATATCTGGATGAATCTTCCTTTTTAATGCCCTTGTCATCAACTACACACAATCAAATCGTTACGTTTTATAATTAACTGAAAACATGTCAATTAAGTGATTCATAAGTTGTTAGCTAGCTCACTTTTTGTATGCGACGAGAATCCTCTTTAACTCGAGGGATAATCTTCTTAGCAAAAGTAACACCATTTTTCACTTTAGGTAATTTCAACGATTTCTTATGAATATTAGTAACGTCATCATACAAATCCGGAAGCTGAACTTTCTCCTCCTTGTCGTCATCATCATCATCGTCATCAGAAAGATCAGCTGAGAATAAATCTGCAAGTGTGATCCTTTCCTTCTTAATATCCATGTTTGACTCATCACCCGCAGTAACAAGAGGATTGTTGCTTGTAATTACATTTGCCATAATTGGTGACTCCTCAGGTTCATTATTTGCAGACATCAACGCGTTAGGTTCTTCATGATCACTAACTGCAATTATCTCAGGTACTTCATTTTCGTCATGTAGGCAACTACTTAACTCATCTTTAATTGGATCGAATCCAAATGTGCCAATTGTAAGGATTCCTTCTTTCCAGCCGCCCAACATAGAGAACTCATCTTGAATAAGAAGTTGCTTGTGATCATTGATAACTATCACTTCATCTGTTTTCACATTCCCACAAAACAATCCATCTGCCATAATATAGTAAAATCTTCAACAAACAAAAAAAAAGATACTACTTCCTCCAGAGTTTAAGAAAATAAAGAAGAAATTCTGATCATGTGGTCTTAAATTAAATTTATGTCAGATGTACAAATTATTCTTTAATTTTGTGCTCTTAAACATGCCACGTGAAAAGTTATTACCAAAAAAAGGAAAGTTCATTCTTTTTTAAAATGGGGAGTACTAATTAGCCAAAAAAATAAATAAAAGGAGGATCGAATAGCTTCACCTTTCTGATTAAGTTTACGGTGAACCCAACTGAAGATCTACACCCGCGTCCAACAAAAAGAAGAAGAGAGTTTAGAGCTTTGTCACAACAATTTGAAAGACAATAAATACATTTATTTTTTAATTAACAATAAAAAGAAAAGACCGGCGAGCTATAGATGATTAAATTAAATTGTATACCTTCATTTGTTGTTTGGGAAGTTGGCTATGGGAAATTGATTGAAGTTGAAATATGTGGAGTGGAATCTTAATGGACAGATAAATAAATAACTAATAAGTGGCGTTGTGGAGGGTGGGGGAATTAAGGGGGACCAATTAGGTACAAGGTTGAACTACTTGACAAATGTATAAGGCTAAATAGAGGGACCTTTGTTTGTAAGATTATATTGTATGTCATATATTATAGCATGTTTCTGTAGAAAAAAACTACGCAAGTTCCATCTCTATATATCTCTATGACTTCTTCGATACAGTCCACAAGTACCAAATAGATAGAGATTTGTGGCGAAATGGATCACATCTTCGTATAATTATAAAGAATGAGTCGGCCTTTCCCTTTTAATTGACTCTATTCAACGTCTTTTAGCGTTGGAATCAATTTACGTGGCTCAAGACTTTGAGTCAAGATGTTAGGTGCAATAAATTGTTCACTTCTTAAACATATGATCAAAGGTGTAATAAGTTCATATTAAGAACCTAAATATTAAACCTATTAATGATTTCTAATATAATCCACTTCGAATTCTTCATAATTACGCGACTATCTTTTTAAAATTTTGATAGGATTTTGTACATCTAACTATATTATTGGTATGTGTCATTGCTCATAATAACTAATGTTCATCAACTTGTAGAAGCAAATGGCAAATAAGAGAGAGAACATCCCACAAATTGATTCACTTGTCATGTCATTTGGCTTCTATTTGTAAGGTATTTTTCACATGATAAACCCGACCACTATATGAGTTAGGCAATGGGCAGAAGCTAATACTAATCCAAGAATGCCATGACAATCATCTAGTAGTGCATGCATATGTCTAAGTCCTCGTTTCATAAAAAAAAAAAAGCAACGATGCAAATAATTGTTGCACTTTACCTAGATATTTCGAAAGAAATAGTAATTCATATACACAATTATTCTTACTAAAATTCTAGTTTTTCATCAATTATTTTCCTTGAACTAACAAATCGCCAAGCTGCTACCTTTTGCATTATTGCAATATGTAAGAATTTAGATAGACTTCCATTTTGGAATCTTTACTTTGATACCTTTTTCTTTTTCTTTATGTCGGAATACTAATTAGGCGGACCCTTGATAGTATCATACTGTACAAAAGAGAAGGAAAATGAAGATAAATATTAAGGGGTCGTTTGGTCGGGAACAATGGTATAAATGATGGAATAAATTATTTCAGACTTGACAATCAAACAAGACGCCAAATTTATATCCGAGGACTATTTAATTTATCTCTCTAACCAAACGACCCTAAGTTGATCACCTCCTATATCATAAGAGAAAAAAAAGTTCCACTCTTACATAATATTATTACAAAAAGGACTAATGTAGGTGCTCATAATATCTTCTGCATTCACACCTATCAATTGCACTTTCACACAGACTGACTAGAATCTAACCAATATGCAGATTGATACTGTAAAAGTCACCTAAATAAAAAAGATCATGCACCTAGTCCGATAAATATATATACTATGAATCTAAATAATTAAGTTTAATTTTTCTCAGACTTTTATCAAACAACTGTAACACGTAATGGATTTAAGTTATAATATCCGATCAATATTATAGCGCAGAGTTGATTTCTCCTACGGTGAATCGACTAGTAGTAGTTATTATTATTGAAGAAATATTGAAATCTATACGAAAAACGACTATGTGAAATAATAATATATTAATTAGTTGAGTGACCATCTTAATTAAAAGGACATAACGCGCGCAACGAATCATGATAATTGAACAAACACATTTAGTATCGGTGTTGCGTATGATAGATTATCAAGCTTTGCGGAGAGGCTGTAATTTTGACGGGTTGTGGCATGTCTTATTGCAGCCAATTCTCATCTGCCAGTCTGTTATGAGTAAGATTTTGCTTTGGATTCTCTGAATACAAAGAATCATGGTATTTCATTCAACATGCATTTGCATTTGTTCCTCTAGCAGACGTGGGTCTTCTCTTATTTTGATCCTCTCATTTTTTTCCATTTTTTTTTAACCACAAAAGGTAGATATTATATTTATAGTACTACTGCGTACAGGTGCTCCCCTACATATATGTCATTCAACCAAGTAATAGAAAAATCAGTTAACTAAATTATGTGCTAGTTTGTTTGGACTTCTACTAGCTAAGTAGTTTTCAAGACTATCTAAAGTCACAATACTAATACCTGAGCGTTGTGTTTTAACAACAATAACATATTCAGTATAAACATACAAAGTGAATTTTGTAGTGTATAAAAGATAATCTATAATAATAGAAACAACCAATAGGAACAAAATAATATGTTAATGACTAGTCTGATACAAGAAATAACATATAGTAATTATTATCAAAGGCCAATAAACTACTGGAGTAATTCTATCTGGGGGGTTGTTAATGGGCTGATCCAAAATTGAGGATAAGTGAAGAATCAAAAAATATCTTTATGCTCATAATAGTGAAATGGCGACTTAGAGGCAAAAATATCTTTATTCTTTTTAGACTTTGGTAGATTTCCAAAGGATTTTATACCTCACGTCTTTCTCAATTGAACCATCAATTGAATCACTGTCACATAAAAAGTTAAGGCACCGTTACATTACTGTCACTTAATTGCAAAAAATGGGGCATAAGTGTCCCCCCTAGGTTTCAATGCTTAATTACGTTATAATTTCTCTTAAATGGTGCAATCAGGCCATGTACACAATTTTGTTTACTTGAAAGTCAATATTCCTAATAAAAAGAAGGTCGTAGTAAATAACATGTTGAAATAGTCAAATACAGTTCATAATCTTTTGTAAATTGCTGTACTAAAATGAAGCAATGTTGCAGATATCCTTCCGATGCCCAACTCTGTCGATCAATACATGTGGAACGTTTTGAAGAATTTCGGTCCTACAACTCTTGGAAGATGGAGATGTCGCAAAGACATGTTTTAGAGGAGTTACAAAATTTACCCGCCTACGTTTGAACCAGATGATCAATACATGCATGACATGTGTTTGTGCATAGACTTCTATCGATTAGTAAGCTCTGTGATTTGGTTGTTCGTTGTATACAGGGATTAAGTTACGTAATTATATTTCTTTCCTATTTGTCCGGTTCTTACTTTATTTTCCAGTATTTTATTTAAAATCAAATTAGAGCCAACTTTGCTAGTCCAAAAAGGCTTAGCCTATACACAAATATTTGTAAAACAGAACAACAAGTTGAAAGGAAATTCATAAATTAATGCCGATAATATATTACATGAAAGGTGGAGTACAACTCAAACATGGTGAATCCAGAATCCACGTCCTCCTCATTTTAATTTGTTTATTATCAATTGGAAAAATTTCTCAAACATCATATAGTATATAGTATATAGTATTGTTACCCGAACTTCATATGCTTGCGTTTCACCAAGAACACATTGTATCTATAATTAATCTGTTGAGAAGAAGATATGGAAACCAGGATCATGATCGGTGAAACTCGATTCGTCTAAAATCGAGTTGTTCACTCCTTGTACATTACTGTTAATGAACATAGTAGATTCTTCCATGTCACCTTCATCTTCTTTCTTCTTCTTCTTTTGATCAGTATTGCCTTCTTCTTTCTTGCCAACCGTTTGGGACTTACCTCCAAATACATTACTAGTAGTAGTATAAGATTTCTTGATGGAATTTGGTTTCAATAGCATTATTGCCCCTTTGTTTTCGCCGATCAGGGTTACCAACCTCCTTGGTAATTTTTCAAATTTAGTACTACTAACTTTGTTGTTATCCATAGCAGATTTCTCATTCATCTTAGAATTTCCAGCGGCTTCTTTCCCGGCTAGACGAAACAGAGGCTTTGTTTCGGGGTGTAATTTTGGTGGAGATTCGTTCCATGGCTTGACGGTTCTTGAAGTAGTAGGAGCAGTGAGAGTGGTGGTGGCAGGGGAAGGAGGTGGAGGTGCTGTTGGTTTTGGGAGTGGAGCAGTTGTCAATGAAGAGGAATAAGGGGCAGGGGTCTTGGTTTCAGGGCTTTTTAAACTGAAGGAAGAGGAAGCAATTGGGAGAAATGCAGGAGATGTAGGTGATGAAGAAAGTATTGATTTGGCTGGAGAGACAGGGGCAGTAGATGGTGTTGGAGATTTTGGTGCAGGGAAAAATGCTCGAATTGGAGTAGCAGGTGGAGGAGGAGATGTGGCAGCAGGTGGTCGAATGGTTGGTCGAGGCTGAGGGGCAGGAGGCCTATATGGTCGTGGAGCAGGAGATCGAAATGCTGTTGGCCGAGGGGTTGGTGGTGGAGTTGGTTGTGTTTGGCGACCAAAAGGAGCTAAACGAAACCATGAAAATGGTCTTTGTTGGTTAGACATTCTTTAGGAACACACCTCACAGTAGAGAACCCCCACTGGACTAATTAAATTAAACTCGAGTTTAGGTAACTTCAATGAGTTTGGTCATTCAATTCTTTGTTGCACACATAAATTTATACATGTGTATGAGTAAGGATTGTTGATGAATTCACCGTGGAAAACGGGGACAAAAAGTTACCTAAACTGACAAATAAAAAGATGAAAAAGAAGTAAGAAAAGCATCTGGTTCATTTACAAGGTTTGGTATCAAATCTTTGTTGTCTGCATTCATCAAGAATACATCACATACTTTTTTGTTAGTGGAATGAAGGTTTCACTTTGATTGGCTTCTCAAAGACTCGGTGACAACTAATAACAACTTACAGCAGAAACAACCCTGGTGGTGGGGTAACAGAATTTTTAACAGTTCTGAGTCTAGAACAAGCCGTTTTCAAGACAGACAGATGCAGAATCTATCTTAGATATTGTATGCATATGAAGTAAAATGTTTGAATCGCGGCTTCTAAAATTGTACAGTACTGTTGATCATGCAGACTCTGTTTCAAACTATGGTCCTTCCTCTTCCCATTGTTTATCTTTGCCTCAAGATTCAATTTTGTTACAAGAACACAGACATCAAAAGCAAAAAGGGAAAAATCAACGAACAATAACGAATAACAGGTTACTGTATTTTCGACTAATAAAGATTCTTGAATTTGAAGTTGAACAAAAAAGGGGTATTTTGATATGGGGTGTAATTCACTTCAACTGTCTCTGTCTTGACTTTGCTTGCTTGAAATATGATGCTGTCTCCCCCTTTCAAGAGGCTTCAATAGGGTTCTAAGATAAATCAGCTGCTTTTCATTAGTCCTTTCTCTTACTTTTTCTCTATCTTGATTGATTTCCTAGTACTTCCATCTTAGTTGTAGAATAGTAAGTTCTTTTCAACCATCCATTCTTACATCTTGTGTATTATTGATCCCATGAAGTATTTTAGCTTAAACAAATTAAGGAATATAAATTCAAAGGATTGTAACAGAGAACTCTAATACCAGAACAGAATTGAATGGATACAAAAGATTAAATATAGTAAACCCCAACTAATTGTGAATTGAGGCATAGTAGATTTTGATTGATATAACAATACTTACACAACTAGTTTTGACATCCAAACTAATCATTCTTTTTTTTTCTAGACAATTCCTTGAAGGGGTCATTACATCTGGTGTAGAACAACTTTGCCACACTAAGTAGGATCTCTTCTACAGTTAATGTTTTACACACAAGGATGCAGACACCTCGACCTTCAAACTTCAAGCCAATTCAAGGCCAGTTGGTAAATTGGAATACTTTGAAGACAATGTCAATTCCAGTAGGGATTTGCCAAACAAATAGGATAACGTTTATTGCATTCAAAGCTATGTGCAGACTCCTAGCTGTTTCGTTTCCCTTTTGCATTGCTGGTACAAGAGCTGCTGCTACTGCCCATAGAACTGTAATACCTGTTCCGTGAAAGTTGAAACAAATTAAGTTATGTAGAGCTACCCGGTTAATGATCTAGAAATTAATATTCCAGATAAGGTTGCAAGTTTGCACCAACATTATGTTCTACAACATTTTATAACCTTGGAACTTGTAAGAACTATACAAAGGTGTATAGGCTTTAAAGCCTTGTAATATATGCAGCTTAGAAATGCAGGACCTGATCACCTCAAACAACGTTAAGTTACTCCATCAAACTCACTGATAACAGATCGAGAATATTTTATATCTAACAAGTCATCTGTAAATACAAGGAACTCTATAAACAGGAAATTTTTTGAAGATTAGAGTCTGCTATAATAATGTTTTAATTTGGCCGGAGCAACAACTCCCAATTTCCACTGATTGTAGATCTATGCTCCCACTCCTAATTAAAAATCACATTTAGGCAGCAATAACAAAGTTCTCCAAGAAAAAATTGTGTATATGATCAACAATAGAACACTCTGAAAAGCCCACATACAGCGAAATTTTTTTGTTGCCATTGGAAAAAGAAAAAGTCCCACACCTATTAGCATAGGAACTAGAAGTGGAATGGAAGTATGATCCAGGCATATTTTTTCCGTCTCAATTGAAAGGCAAATAACATTTCAAGAACAAATAGTTCTTCTTCCGTGTTGCTTTTGCATTGTTTTTTCTTTTTACCCTACTTTGTGTTTTATTCCGTGTATCTTTGGCTCTAGCCTCTCATTTGACTCGCTACTTCATCAACTTTTCAGTCGTTCGTGAGTGGCATGCACCTCTACATCTTTTCCTATTTATAGTCAAGGACTGCTGCTCATAACTACTAAAAATAGAAGGAAAAAAAGCCAAATTTTTCTGTGGACCACATGATTCTATTAAAGTATAACCATACATGATTTTATTTAAGGTATTACCAAAAATATTTACAGTTTTTAAAACAATACTAGATGGAGTAATGATTAATATGAAAAGAGTTGCTTGAAATCTCGAAATAGTATTATGTTAAGATTAATGAAGGCAAACTATAGCCTAAAAGGCTAAAACCATAGGAGGAAAACGCATGCAAGTGGCATGGGACTAGAAAGGAAGTTACGGATAATCCTCAAAACCATAAGTGAGCTCTCAAGTGTCAACCAACTTCTAATCTGTGAGGTAGCATTTAAGTCGAAAATCATAGGGGTGACCATAAATAAAAATTGCTATACTATAGCTGAATACAAGTATAGAAGATAAGATATTTATTTATAGAACTGTTTCCCCTAGTTGTTACTAGTTTGGAGTAATTTAGAACTACAAGTTGAGAGAAAAATATAACACATTGAGTTGAAGTACAGCAAAGATATTTAAACAGTGTCCTATTCTGAAAAATTCTTTACGGGTACCTTTTTTGTCACATAAATTAAAGATGATACAACCATTTAGTACTCACAGATGAGAGAAAAAACACAAAATAGGATGAAACATATGACACATTTATATTGATGTAGATACATGTAATTGATAGAAGATGTAAACGTTACCTGCCCCTGCAAACAAATGAGGCCCTGGAAATAACTTTCCTGTCCTAAGCCAGGTATTCAAACCTCCGAAAATTGCCTCAGACACCCCAAAACCAAGCAATATTGAACCTGCATTGAAGTGTCTATCCCTGAATGAACCTTTGATTAACTCCTTCCGCTCCTGAAGTTCAACAGAAGCAACATAAAACATTCAGAAGTTGGAAAGTGGATAAAGCATGACCACCGGTTTTAGTAGTACATCTGCAAGTCATTTCACTAGGAGCTCAACCAAAAGGGAATACAAGATTGCAACTATAAACTCCATCAACACGTTGTGAAATATCTCTTCATTTGCTGTGACATACAATATTTGCAATGGAAAGTTAATTCAAAATAGGTCATTAAGATCGCAAAAGGACAGAACTATCAAAGAATTACTACTAGTTAGTCATATTAGATCACACAGAGGCATATCCACAGATTGTGTGGTAAACTTTGCAATAGCTTGGCTACAAAGGATCAATAATGCTTTCTTCCTAAAAAGCACACATAACTCCCCACTGCATAAGATGAGTTTGAAAAACGTAGTGCCTAGGATTTGAACTTGGAATCTCAAGATGAAAAGTGAACTCCTTAGTCAACCTTTAGTCTTGTGATTAGGGTATTTAAAATCTCTATATATACATAAAAATGTAAAAACTTACCTTATATATACAGTATAATATTTTGCCAAGGGGTTTGGGTGAACAACTAGGACTCCTCTAGATCCTCCGAATACATTCTTAAAGGGTATAAAGAACAAAATTATACTGATTCAAAAAAGAAGGGACCTCAGTGAGTTGCTGAATTTTAGCTTCAACAGGGGATGGCTTGGGGTTTTCAACAGGGGTGCCCTCAGGAGTCACAGCGACAGGTTTAACTTCCTTCTTGAGCTCATTAATCTCATTTTGTATAGTCCTAACTCTCCTCCATTGCCATCCAAGATAACCAGCATATAAAGTGTAAACAAATAAACCACCCATAACAATGGGATGAATCAGAGCAAAACTCCTCCCCTCAAAAATCCCAAATTCTCCACCTGCCGCAAATGCATCCTGTAAATCCATCAAAAATTCACAAAACCCCAAGATTCAAAATCATCACTATGACAAGTAAAATTACAAAAAGATCAAAACTTTCCCGATAAAAACGTAAAAACATGCCTGGGCATCAAGAAAGAAAGGTAATGTGAGTGCAGTAAGAGGAAGAGAAGCTGATTTGAGCTGTTCAATGGTGTCATGAAGGAGCAACTTTTGATGGTTGTAAGAATCTTGATGACATTGTTGTGGCAGAAGAGTCACTGGAGAATGTTTGCAGCTGGGAATTGAAATCTTGAATTTGGGTTTTGAGGGCAAGATTGGAAGTTTGAGAAGGCTAAGTGTGGCAGCCATGGTCTCTGCTAAGATTTTGTCTGACACGTTTAGGAAGGAGAAACCTCAAGAAAACAAAAGGGGACGATAATGTTATTGACAGGAGGAGAAAAAGATAAGGAAATTTTTTGTCCGCTCCTTTCCAAAGAATTGATTTTGTACCTATTTTTACTTTTATAAATAAAATCAAAAATATGCTCTTACTTTCTTTAGGTTTAGTTCTTTTGTTGAATATATTTTCACAACATTACTGTCCAATTCATATTCTTCAAATTTTTTAAGGTTCAATATAGGTCATTTCATTCTAAAACTGAATTCACAAAGGCATATCTATAAAAGGGATGCACATTTTATATATTTGCATATTTACTAAGCTATTAAAACATCAGAATATTTACTTTTTGTAAATCATTGTCTAGGGATATTCTTTCCTTAAGATTAACTAAAAGTGTGGTTCGATATTTTTAAGATCAAGAAAGCTAAAATCATTCTATGTTTGAAAAAATTATTGATAAATAAACATTTCTACAATATATTAAATACGAAATATTTAGTATCAATGCATCATAAAAAAATTGCATCATCTTACATTTGAGAAATGTCACAAGGAATCTAAATATTTTATTGTTGCCAAGAATCATACTATCATGCTGTTGTTCTTGGATAAGCTCCATATGGTAAAAAAAGAAATTACCG